AATCCATGAGCCATCTAACAACAGTTTTGTTGCCATTTACAGAAACACCAGTTCAGCATCCCACCACCCACTCTGAGTTCACAGACCGGATAAGAATCGCAAATACAAAACCACACAAAGAGAGATTTCTTGATTGAATGCCTAAAGATTAATGCAATCTACAGTATTTTGACATTCCAAAATTCCTATACCTATATATATACATAATCTGACAGGAATCATTTCACCTTTCTCAGTATTTAACCATCAGTATATCTGTTTCACAGCTTCTCACAGCTTCCATGAACCAGTGATTTCCTCCTCGGGTTTTGTTTTAGCACTGCTGCTCTTGCCAGCGTGCATTTGGTAATTATATCTCATTTGCAAAGCAATTTCAAAGCCTCTCTTTCTGCCCTCAACACCTCTAGGTGACACCAAACCTACTCCTTTTCTCAGATAAGAGGCTACAATTTTAAAAGCGAAAATAACAAATAACAACTAAACAGCCAGCTTTTTGTCTTTTTTTCATCCTTCTAGTCTAAACATGCATGGTGTAATGTTTATTTACTTTTAAAAACCCGAATAATACATTTTTTTTAAGCAAATGTTCATGATGCAATGCTTACACAATACATATGGATGGATGTGTGTCTGTCTTCTAAAAATATGGTTGAAATTAACAGAGCGCTGTCAAGGAGTATCTGCAATCCAAACACAGAAAAGAAAGGCCACACTTGCTGACATTACAGCTACGAATCTTAAAGTAAAGTTTATGGGATTCTGTGGATCAATGTTGGTCTACGTGTTAACCTTGTTTAATATTTCAGTGCAGCGAATAAATTTGACTTGAAGGGTGAAGCACAGCATCAGTACATGCCTACATAGTACCGTGAATTTAATGTTGGATGATGACCTGAATTGACACAACTTCTGCTTTTTCATGAAGCTGTCTTGAATTAAATGCGGAGGTTTAGAGGCAGTGCCTTTATTTTGACAGTTGCCACTGAATAAAGCCACCACTGCAATGAAAGATATAATGCAAGTATGTGCATGCACAGAAATAGCAATAATCATGATGAATGGATTCCAGATGCTAATTTTAATGTATGCAGCCGCGCTCCTCTACGACAGCACACAGATGCTCAGTTTTGCTATGCCGGCAAGATGTAGTGACGGGGGTGCTGGAAACTCATTTGCATGCCGAACTGCTATCTTAATGTGGATATTTATTTTAATTTAATTTCTTACCCGCACATACCGCACGGGAGGCTTTTGTGGCAAAGTCACATTAACCTCCGACTAGTTAATATTCATCTGGCGAAGTCCCCCCAGCACTTGATGAATATTCATGAGGTGGGCGAGGCCGTCCCCTCACTCCTCCTCCAGCTCCATGGCGCCCGCGTGGAAATGTTTATTTTTGCAAGCGGGAGCGCACGCGGGCATCATCCTCATCGTCATGCAGCTCAATATGGCAAACGAGAGCGTTTTGCCCACCAAAGAGCGCTCTCTGAAGCAGGGAAGAGAAAATGTTCGTGGCAGGTAAATTCCGCCTCTCGTGAAATGCGCAGCGGGTGATGTCAAGGGACACCGATATAAAAGCAGGCTGATTTGACACTTGTGCGTTTCACATAGAATAAACTCTCCTATGGCACAGCACATAGACGGCAACCTCCGCATTCAAACAAAAAAACATGGTAACCGGAATACCAGCAAAATAACACGTGTAGTTACTAATATCATAATAAATTCAAATAGAATCTCATTCATACACCGTAAGAAGCTTTAAAGCTCAGTAATTTTGTATAGTTGATCTGATGAGACGAGATAAGCTACCACAGTTGTATTGTGACGGGGTCATTTCTACAATTCGGTGCGTTTGGGGCTTTGAAACTTTATTTTTTTGTCATAACAGAACAGGTTTTTTGGACAAATTGCATAATAGCCTAATAATCTTATAAAAATTGTCAAAACTTGTATTAACTGAGACATGTCACCCAATCTTATTTGATAGTACATTAGTGATAATTTTTTGAAAAAATAAGTTATTTAATGTAATTTGTCTGTTTCATATTGATGCCATAACTGAGTGTAAAAAAAACACACACAAAAATGAACAGTAATATATGGTATTTAAAGTTTTTTTTTATAACATTTAAATAGATATCAGATTATGTGATTCATCACATTAACAACATTGTCTTTAAAATATTGTTTGAAAGTAAAATCTGGGTATAGAATATATATAAATGTATTTATTTACATGTAGGCCATTTATAATGATATGACAAGATGAACAGTAACTCAAACCTACTTTGCTATCAGTATTAATTTTGCACAAACTCAAATTTTTAATTGATTAAAATGGGTAAAATTGGCAAAAAGGGTGCAGCATTATAAAGTCTTCTCTAACATGCACTATAAATAAAGTCTTCTCTAAAGAATTTCTAGTGAAATTCTCTCATTAGTAACATAATAAATGGCGTAATTTGGGGACATAAAAGACACTGAATTGTACAATTGACCCAGTAACAATACTAACCAAAATAATCGATTACTTCGATTACTGTAGCATAGTTTTATAAAGGCAAGCAACAAATATGTTTTTCATTAGCATAGTGACTAAAAACAACTGACTCTTTTGGATGGTCAGTGTGATTCTAAGTGATGTCAAATGTTTAATCATTAGCCTGAGATGCTCTGATGAGGACAAGCATTAAAACTGTTGAGGACTATAACATTTAGTGTGTTAGCGAAGCCCACATTCACTTCTTTTACATGTCTGCTATGGTTAGATGAAAAGGATCATAAAAAAATGCATCAGTCCTTGGCTTACTTGAGTCTTTTTTAGAGTAAAACTAGGCACTCTCTGCCCTTATTCCAAAAATGGAGTTCCCTACTGTAAATAAATAAATGTATGTAATCACCAGCAAACAATAAACCAGGTGATTTTGTGCCTTCTAGGGATGTAACGGTATGAAAATTTCTTATCACGATTATAGTGACCAAAATTATCACGGTTATCGGTATTATCACGGTATTGTTAAAATGTGCTGGAGATGTTAAAAAAGTACCGACACATAAATCACTTCAACAAGTTTTATATTTAAAAATCAACAAACAACAAATAAAATGACTTTTTGTTTGCATAATCATTAAAACAATAATATTACCAATGTTCAAATATCTAATGTAAATGTTCAAATAAAGCTTTGAAAATTTTATCACGATTTATCGTCAAACCAGTAATCGTTACATCCCTAGTGCCTTCAGATATAACCATGACAGTTTTGCTGACCTGATGCATCTTGGGAGTTCTGGTGCCGTAGCAGTGTCCAGGGGCCCATCTGTGCATTATGTGCATGAAAGCTCCACCCTGTCACGCATTCCCGGCCCTTCTGTCGAAGCAGCTCGCTGTCACGGCATGGCGGAAGCTTCCGGGCCTCTGCATCCATGGGGGGTAGAACAGGGTTTTGGGGAGGATGATCAAACCCTACCTGCTGTTGCCATGCTGGCACAGTTTCGGCCCAGAACAGCCTGAGAAAATGTACTGATGTCATCACCACAGTCACGCCTCTCTATTTAAATGTCTCTATTAGCAGTGTATTTAAATGTGATGTATCCAATATGCATTTCATTAGATGTTGATGTTTTTGTGCTCGCAAATCTCTTTAAAAACTGTTTATTATTTTACTTTTACATTTTTAGTATTGTAGTATGAGAGCAGAGCAGCTTGAGGAATAGCTTGAAATTTAATAGAAAAATACATGTTTAGGATTTTAATTTATTACTTAAATTAAATTTAAGTTAATGGATAATATGGGTAATTTTAGTTATGTTCAGTCTTGTCAGTTGTGTCTGTATCATTAGCATTACTTGTGATTCAAATAGGCCGTATTTGGGGAATTTATTCTTTCATTGTGTGTATATCCTCTGAAATGATGTGCATTCTACCTCATTGCCATTTAGAGAGCAATTTCATCTGACCTTGGAGAAGAAACAAGTTCTGTAAAGAGTGACTGGGTGACTGCTATTAGTTTTCCATCACCCTCCACACAGAAGTATTTAGCAGATGCTTTTTATCCAAAGCAACATAGAATACACAAATAGGAGGCTCAGTTCGCTGTTAACAGGCTGTAGTTAAGAGCTTTGCTCAAGGGCACAGTGGTGACGAGTAAACTGTAATCAAAGTAGCTCTCCAGATCCTGAGCTTCCCCTTCCTAACCGTAACCTTTGTGGTAGTAGGCGAGATTCCAAACTTACAATATTCTCTTCAACTTTCACTATAAGTCATGAGCTTTCTGTTTTTTTTAGAACAAATATATTATGGACTCATTCAGGTCTTCATGCTGAGCAAAGCCATGTTCATCAGTGCATCTGTGAATATTTTTATACAGCTATTGTATAAAAACCCATCTTTTTGCTTCATCAAGTAATTCAGAAAGTTGACATTTGTTAGGGTCTGAAAATACTGTTTTTCTACAATTGTATCGGTTAGCTTATGTTTTGTCCCGGGCATCAGAATGCTGGAGGTGTTCCACAGATTACGTGCACTATCTTGCAAACTGTAGCAATGAGGGGGGCCAGCCTTCACCATAGCAACCGGAATTGGTTGCTTGGATACAGGTTTGAATAGAAAATATGGTATGAATGCATCAGCAGTCGCCTCCAGGGGACATACAGGCACTTGAACTTGTCGGTGACTCCAGTGTCTCAGCTGATTCAAGTTGACCCAGCATGAGGTGGTGTGGTGCAGTCCAACAGAAACGGTCTTGAATGTGCATTGTTTAACAAGAACGTGAAGACTGGTTGGTTTAAGACACTTTCATACTGAGATTGCTTTGATTTTTCCTTCATATTCAGAGTCATAAACTCAGCAGGTAGGCCTACACACAGTATAGACCTTTTCTCCACAGTAGATTTGTTTATATAGTCACGCTTGAAGCAAGAGACACGATTTACCCTCAAGAAAATATGGTTAGATTGATATGGAATCAGGTGAATCAAAATGTCACCTAATAGTTGTGTTTATAATTGATTTAAGTGGGATTACAAATAGTGAAATCATTTCCAATTAGTTAAAAATTTTGCTTCCGATCAGTTTATCAATTCTAGATTCTGTATTGAATCTTTGGCAACTTTGAGCTGTCCGAATTTGGCAAATAAGATCTGATGGAGTTTGCATTTCAGAAATTCCCCATCCATGTCTTAAATGTTGAATGCAAAGATGACTAAGGTGCCACAAAGCAAAACAAAGCCCTAGACCCAAAGCCAGTGATATGCATCCAACCAGTCACAATTGATTTATATGTCCATGTTATAGAGGGCAAGTTTTAGAGCCGTGTAATCCTTAAGTCTTAAAAAGTGTTGGCAGCATTGACAGCAGAAACATGTGCTGTAATAGTCCAAGTTAACGTCAGGTCCTTGGGTCATGAGAAAGTTGTTGTGTTGAGGGATTATGAAGGCTCATTCCAGTGTCATGATGATGGACGGGCAAACTTCCAATTAAATAATAATAAAAAAAAAAGATTAAAAAAAAAAACCATGCAATACCCTGAGCCCTGAGGAATAGTTTTGTGATTTCTGAAATTTAACAAGGCTATTGCTTTTTCTTCTGTTTGCCGGAACACAGTTCACCCCAAATTAGGTCCATTTTAGCCAAAGTTTCGGAGAAGAAAAGTCATTTTACCAATCTCGTCGCTCCATAAAAAAGTCCTCTTCTGGTTCTTTTGTGCTTTCCTGCCTTCCTTTGCCTCGCTTTATTTTTTTCCTCTTTTTTTCCTTTTGTCTTCGCTGTCCTTTTTTCGGCGGAGTGGTTGGTAAGGTGTTGTGGTGTTGGCGAAGGCGTCTTTTGGCACAGTCACAGGGCACTGTTAAAGGAGGCAGACTGGCACCTCCTGGACCCATGCCAGAGCTCCTCGGGAGAAATACCCACTGCTGTGGTTGGTGTGTGAGAGAGATACAGATAGAACAGGTAGAGAGAGAGTGAAAGGCATTATGGGAAGGTGAAGGGAGGAGGTTGGAGAGTGGTAGAGAGAGAGAAAACACTAGGTTTGTGGTGCCAGAGCTTTTGTGGATGTTGGTTGTGTTGGCGTGTTCTTGGCCGGGTTCACTTTATTCCAGTTTGTTTGTTACATTTTTTTTTTTTCAGTCTTCACTGGATGGAGTGGCTGTGTGTTCATCTGCTGCCAAAAGGCACGAAGGAATGAAAGAAAAAAAATGCGTAGCTCCATATTTCCGCCGCTCTAATCTGTTGCGCATCCCGCTCTTTTATTCCTCTGCCCATTCCTGTCTTCATCACTCACTCCAAAATTCATTTATCCTCCATTTCTCACCTTTATTTGGAAAGTGTGTTTTTCTTTTCTTTTCTTTTCAGATCGTCCTTCGCAGAAATTAGAAATGGCATCATTGTGCGCTTGGCTGGCAGGTCAGTGCCAGGTGGTCTGTTCGAACATTGTGAGATTTGGCAAATGTGACTGCAAAGGTGTGTGTGTGTGTGTATATTTAATGCACAAGTCTTCACCCCGACAAGAATAAAGGAAGCTTTGCTTGTCAAGGTGACAAAACAAGCTCCTCTTTTTATCTTGATTTGGTAGCATGGCTTTTGTCTGCCTGGTTGTCTTTGTCTCTCAGTTGTTTGCTTGAGTTATACTTGAAGGCGGGCTTCAAGTATAACTCGTTTGAAGTAATGGTGCTTCATATAACATTGTCCAGAGAAACAAGTGTTAATGATAAATCCCCTGTGTCGTTTGTACTGGCTATTGTATACAGGCCACCAGGGCACCATACAGACTTTATTAAAGAATGTGCTGATTTTATATTGTCATCTCATTTCCTTGTATGTTAAGCAGCATTCTTTGTTGTGGTCAATGTGCAAAACAGGTTAAAGTTTTGCAAAAGAAACCAAATGCACTTTGTGCTTTAATTCTGACCAGTGTACTCTTCACAGTGCTTGTGAATAATAAAATTCAGTGAGCCAACTAGTTATCTGACGTCTGGCTAGTGATATTGGTTTATGTAGGGGTTTATTTTATTTTAGTTATGATATTTTTAGTGGCAGTGCTTTAGTTAGCATGCTGCGCTTTAGCTGTTATCTGCATGGTAAAACCCTCTCAGGAAGTTACTTTCAAGTTCCTTTTAAAGCACTGCTGTAACAGACAGCATTACATTTTTGTCCATTGTGTCACGCCTTACTCTGCTTTTTTTTACTTAAGCATCTTGTCACAAGTGTTGCATTTTTAAGACACTGGCCTTGCTTTCACCTGGTATTAAGGTGTGATTTCAGTGATCCAATCACAAGTGGTCAGCCGAGGCTTAAACTGTTTTTAACCGTTTCAAATGCGCCTCCTGTGACCAGTGCTGTTTAGATTTCCTTGTGACACTTCCCTCTTATTTCTTCACACTCTACATCACAAATACTGTTGACTGAACAAACGTATGTTATGGGATTACAAGTGATTGGGAAAGGAAGCAAATTAAAATGATTTAAAAAAGCAGTCTGTGTTTTGTTACAACGGAGCTGATTTGAAACAAATTTGATTCACTTGTTTTTTACAGAAAGTAGTGTGGTCTTTTTGGCTGTTCGGACACAATCGACCACATGAGTGTCTAAGCTATGAAAACCATCCAGTTAAATGCGTTTTCGTCTACCTCAAAACGTTTTAGATGCCTTCTATACTTGTATTTAGCGTAACCTTAATGAAAAATGTAAACAGGGCCTGTTTTAAAGTTAAAAATAGTCCAACTTTTAAAAATGCTAAATTTTGTTACATTCCATTGTGCTATCTAGCTGTTTTTGAATGCAAAAATCTATGAATAAAGTATCTGATCTGGGTCATATGAATCCAAAACCAGCCTAATTGTTCTGGAACTCCATTTAGTCGACTAGTGATTTTTTTTTGTACATCCATGCAATCTATTTTTATGTATTCTGAACAAAATGAGAGATGCTTGCCCTTGCAAAATGCTAATGCTAGGTGGATTGCTAGGTTGTTCTGGGTGGTTGCTTACTAACCTAAATCAAAAGAGTCCATCTCCAAGTTTCTATTGTATTCTGGTTTCTAGATATGGCTCAGGTCCCTCCTTCGAGGTTAGTCCATTTATGTCCGTCAGGATAAAATCAGAAGTCTAATTGCTTAGGAAAGTAATAGCATACCTCTCCTTAGCAAGGAACAAGATTTGAGGCATCATTCATGTCCAAAGCACAAGCAGTGCAGGATATGTTGCGTGCCAAAGTTTAATAGTTTGCTACGCTAGGTTTACTTTCATACCAAGCTTTTGCAATTGGTAATGGACAGATTTTCAGTATTAAGGTCATCATAATCGTATATTGTTTAAACTTAATGGAGATTAAAGGGGGAATGAGGTGCATATTGCCCTAAATGCACTATTGTGTGTGCTTGTTTGTGGGGCCATGACACATTTCTTCATCCATATGCTAATATTAGTACACTGTGTGTAAACCACTATCCTTTGCTGCCTGGAGATTTAGGTGGTAAATCACTTCAGACTTCTTAGCTCTAATCCTCCCCACATCTGTGCTCCTTTTCTCTTCCTCTTTACTGCTCTAATTCCAGTATGGCATAGTTGGCCTCATCCATCCAACTCAGGAAACATTTTGTTTGTCCACCCTTTTTCTCCCTTGTGGCCTAATCCACTGCAGGTTGTTCCACACGCATCACTCGTGGTTTGTGACCTTCTCTGGATGGTTTAGAGATGTGTGTGTGTGTTGGGTGGGGGGAGGTTCAGCAGTGTAATCTGCTAAGTGTCTCCCACTGCAGAAACAGCAGCACTGATTCAGTTTAGCCTGAGCAGACCAGGCAAATCTGCAGTAATCCTCGCCACAGAACCCAGTCTGACAGTCCCACCATCTGGAACAGCGCCACCTTGTTCATACGTACACCCCATTGATAACAGAACATTTCTATTGCTGTCTTTCTCTGTTTCTGCAGCAAAGCACGCAGCTAATAAGAACCCCACAGTGGAGCCGTTTCCTGATGGCTTGGAGATGATCATGTTTGGTGAGTTTGGAGAAGATAATATTCCAGACTTCTTTGGATGCAATTAATGTATTGCTTCCTAAAGTACCACTTGTGTCAGAGTAGTGGCTCATGGGAGACCTGGGTTGGAGTCCAGCCTGGGTTATGTTCCAATCTCATTTCTCCATCTCTCCTCTTGACTTCTTTTTGTCAAGTGCCAATAAAAATGTGGCTAAAAGCTCATTTAAAGGATTCAGTTGAAATGTCAGTATCCAAACATAGTAGTTTTGTTTCAAGACCTAGTGAGCTGCCTAAATAGACAACTACCTAGCATCCTAACTGAAATGGAACCTCATACAATAGCATTCAAATGTTTGAGGTGATCTCTTTGAATGAAGTCTCTTATGCTCACCAAGGCTGCATTTGGTCAAAAATACAATAAAAATAGTGATACTGTGAAATATTACAAATTAAAATAACTTTTCTGTTTTAATCTATTATAAATAGTGTTGTCAATATAATACAAAAAACTAATTAATCACTTAAAACATTTTTTTTTAAATATACAGTACTTTTATATTGCAATAATTTCACATTCAATCTTCAAATTAATGTAGAAACAACATAAAGACAGTATATTTTTAATATTTGTTTAATGTCATCATGTTTATGACTGAAGGTGAGTATCACTGATACCAATACTACTAATGTCTCAATGAAATTGTTTTTTCCCCCTAATATTTAACCATTGATTATAGCCATTCAACATTACAGTATAATTGAGAGTTATCAATTTGAACATTTATTAGACGTTAAAAAATAACAACTTCAAATTTAAGTTAACTTAAAACAATCTTCACATAAACCCATTATAATAAATGTCATATTTAGCTACTTGTGCCCGTCAGCAAGTAGGAAATATACAGAAATTGCATAAAGTTATCAAACACTAAATTCTATACTTTGATTAACAGACATCACAGCAGCTGGGTTAAGGTTAGTTTGGCTGCTGGACATGACACGGGTCTGATTGTATTTTCTCACAACTCTTTACCTTTACCTAAATACATACATGCATGCACAGTTTTAAGGCAGCTGTAATCACCTTTTTGGTAACTTCATGACTTAACTGACGACATAATGATGTAGTTTCTTTTGCGCTTGATATAGGCTACAGGCCTATAGGCCTACAACCCTAGCTCCACCCCTAGCTCCACCCCTGCTTTAATTGAGTTAAACATTTTGAATGTGTTAAACTGAAAAAATTTATCGCATGTTTTAACGCGTTAATTCTTCAGTGTCACATAATTCTTCAGATATCATTATATGCTATGCATTCTATTTGGTGTTTAAGAAACATTTCTTAACACAGTCAGTGTCAGTGTTAAATCAGTTGTGCTGCTTAATATTTTTGTGCTACATTTTTTTACATGATTCTTTGATGGAAAGTTCAGAAGAACAGCATTTGTGTGGAATAGGAATCTTTTGTTAATGTATCCTTGCTGAGTAAAATTATAAATTTCTTTCTTTCAAATTTTTTTTTTTTACTGACCTCAAACTTTTGAATTGTAGTGTAAGTGCTCCACATAGGCCACACGTTTCTCAACGGTCACAAACATGCATAAGTGCATTTCACACAAAGCATCAAAAGCTTGCAGTTGATTCCAGTTGACATTCATGTGTGATACACTAATACGCACAAAAATATGCACACACAGATACTGAATACAATTCATAGATGAAGGTAAAAAGAATGAGATGCAAATATATTATTTATACTAATCACTGAGCTTGTCACAGTGCATTGTGGATCTGTAATCTACATGCAGTGCTGCCTTAGAATTGTTTTGTGTGCCTTTCGAGTCTTGGGGAAAAGGTTTTGTTTTGATTGGGTCACAGAGTATCAACAGTGTCTGAATTTGATTTTTGTAGTTTGTGAAAATATTTTGATCAGCAGTAGCATTAAGATGTCAAAAAGACATAGTTAGGAAGGGCTTTGTAGAGGAGCCGACAAAATATTCAGTTTCGTCTCTTTTTGAGTTGTTCCTGTAATTATTGTTATTTGATGCCTCTGTCCCAATTTGGGGAGCAGAGAGGCGCTTCTGGAGGATTCTTGGTGTGTTCTCTACACAAGTGGGCTACGCTGGGGGCTTCACACCTAACCCTACCTACCATGACGTGTGTTCAGGTTAGTACCAGCCACACAAACACAGCCGATCAAATACAGATATGCATATAGACACATGCCCAAATACATTTTCCCCGCTTCCATTTTGCTGCTACATGCTTGTTCACTTCCCATATCAGAGGTCTCTGATGACACTTTTCCCAACTGTAAGTCACAAACACTAGAGCAGCTTTGCTGTACCAGATTAGTGCTTCGCTGCAGCCTTCACCAAAACATTCCCTTCATCTGCAGTGAACTACCCAGAGAGCACTGCTCTCTCCCAGATCCGCAGCCCTCCCCCCCTTCCTCTGTATGACCTACTTGTAGCCAGATGAGATGGAGGGAGGGATGCAGCTGTGATGTTGCAGTTTCTGAACAGGTCCCAGCGAGAAGATTCTGACTGCAGCTCTGCAGAGGGTTGGCTTTCTCCACACACACACACACACACACACACACACAGGCTCTTTTAAGCGTGTAGTATGGAGAAGACAGTGGCAGTCAGAATTGCGTTAGGTGTTGGGGTTAATATGTAGACAGGCTTTGTTATTTCTAAGAGCAGCAAATGCATATGCTGATACAGTTTTACACAATTGTTTATTAAATTTTGTACACATTTAACAGAATGGTTCTTATGATCTTAAAAACCTTCTAAAGGTTTATGCTTAAATTCTTGGAAGTAGTTTTGTAGACAAATTTAAATTGTGCCTGAAATTGTTTCTGAATTGGTTTACAAAACCATTTTAAATGTTTAAGCATTTGTGGGCTCTTCTCCAGTATTGCTTAGCATCTCAGGATGCACCTCATAAAGTTGGATGAGAGAAGTTTATCTTCATCATAACCACATGAAACATACAAACACATACACTTACACTACGGTTCAAAAGACGGTATGTTTTTTTTTGTGTGTTTGAAAGAAGTCTCTTACTGCATTTATTTGATCAAAAATACAGTAAAACGGTAATATTGTGAAATATTATTACAATTAAAAAAACTTTTCTATTTGATTGTATTTTAAAATTGTATTTATATCTGTGATGGCAAAGCTGAATTTTCAGCAGCCATGATTACACCAGTCTTCAGTGTGACATAAACCTTCGGAAATCATTGTTAGATGCTGTTTGGTTCTTTGATGAATAGAAGCTTCAAAAGAACAGCATTTATTTGAAATAGTAATCTTTTGTAACAATATTTACGTCTTAACGGTCACTTTTTATCAATTTGATGCATCATTGCTTTCTGAAGAATGTGTTTTGCTATTGCTACATTTATGAGGTTTGGTAATATTTCTAAAAATAATTTTTTAAAAATATTTTTAACAAAATTTGATATGTCATTATTTATATAATCTGATGACCTATAATTAAACTGTAAATTCAACCAAACAGCTGTCGTAACCACTAGATTCAAAATAAGTCATGTTAGAACTGACATACGGTAAAAATCTGTTTAACCCTATCCCTAACCAGGAATGTTTTCCACAATGTTCTTCACTAAATGAACACAAGAAAGAATGATATTTTAAAAAAAAAAAAAAAAAGATTAATTAAAATCCTTGATGTTCCTTTTAAATAGCCTGAATTTAATGTAGGCTGCAAAATCAAATAACATTTTCACAGTACTATTTGTACATGATCAAACTTCTTTTTGTGCTGTTCTCTCCAGGTTTAACAGGGCACACGGAAGTAGTGCGAATGGTCTTCTCTCCTAAAAACATCAGCTTAGAGAAACTTCTCAAAGTCTTCTGGAAAAGCCATGACCCCACTCAAGGTAAACCAACACACCTTTTCCCTCACATCTACACGCATGCACTCACACAGATGTCCATAGTAAGACCCCTAGGTGTGAGATGCAGTGGTCCAAAAGCAAACTGCCTCATGAGGTTAAAACACGGCTGCATCTGTGTGTTCACACTGCCCTGTGCAAGTGTATGTGCCGGATGGTCAGGATGATCTCGCGGGAATCGGAACAGCCTCAGACAGGCCATGTTAATGTGTCTGAGACCAATTCAGCCATGAGAGGAAAAGAGACATTGCGTATGTGTGCGCATTAGTGCAAGCGTCACCTATTCCTTCAGTCCACTAGAAACAGACCCAATACTGGACACACAGCTGATATTTGCCGTCTGTGTTGTCCTTCAGGTCCTCATTTGAGAATAAATCAACCTTGCTGTCTGTCTGCGATACAGCACTAAGCATGAGACTCAAAAAACCCAGAATATAATTACAGAAAAATGAATTCACTCCATTCAAGTAATTGGTTGATCTGTAAACCTTGGTGTGTATTTATCTATCTATCTAATTAGTAGGGCTGGGCGGTATATTGAGTTTGTACGATATATATAGATATTTTCTTTATAAGCGATTTGATATGAGGCAATACCGTTTATATCGATATACAGTAGTTTGATACAAGCGCATCTGAAAATATAGCGGAGGACACAGACTGAGCTGCTGCGGAGAAAGTGCATAATCCAGTTTGTTTTAAACATGTGACAAGCTTCATATTAAG